GATTACAAGAGACTCAACTCGCAATTATTACTTTCTTTCACAGTGGAAGAACACAAACCAGGCATCTACAATTAACATTTCAGGCAATTCACCTCCAAGTCTGTTGACAAATCCAATTCAATTCACTTCTTACCGGTAATTGAATCACTGGTAGACTTCCTCTTGGATTCGGAGAAAAGTAGAAATTGTTTAATCCCGCAATAGTCTGTTCTGATTTCAGATTTAAGACGTTAGACATAGAGAAAAGCCAAAATATGTTTCAAGAAAGGATTCCCTGGAGCCAAATGTAAATCGTGCATTTTATCAAAACTCAGTCTGAAGCAGACAGCCTGCTTGCGTGAAAGCAATTCAACATTACCATACATTAAACGGGTACAACATTTTGTTTTGAGGGATATACACTGATGCCATTTGCGGTACACATAGTTGATGTATGCTTGACTGCTTGTGGTGAAATAGTTCGAGAGAATTAAGAACCGCGGACTTTACATACATTATAGTGCAGTGCATTACAAGGTTCCCTCTAATCTGCACGTGTGAGCTATTGCACACTTCTCTCACCCACTCAGCGCACATGGTGACAGCTGGCATGCACCACGCACACACTACATTTCTACACTCTTTCCTTCATTTCCACCCCACTTTAATCTATAAACGGGACAACAGATTATTCCCACTCCCATGACAGTTTTTTCAGTAGTGCGACCGAGGGTGCGCACTCAGTTGTCCTACGATATTTTGACGTATACATTGAAACACATTCACTCACGCTCACCACAGACGAGAAGCTGCAGGTGAGGCGTGGACCTCTCGAGTCAGGAAATCCAAACATGGGCATAGTTTACGAGCTCCTTGAATGAGGCTCTTTCGCACGTTTCAAAGGTCAGGTTTTTGTGTTTTATTAAATGACATGTTTTCCATTATATATGAGTGGACAATGTGTGACCATAGTTATACAGACTGACTTAATTAATTACGCTTAAAATAACATGGTTGTTAAAGGTAACAAACTGGGGGCAATTTCATTCGTGTCATAAATCCTCATTCGATTATATGGTCTCTTTTGATGTAAAGGAAATTAGAATTTTTTTCATAAACATACTTAATCACGAAGCTTATGTTCGCAGGTTTTGGACAGAAGTGATACTCGTTTGGCCGCCGTGTGCATGTCTGATGTTGCTCACTGTGGTCCAAGGAATGGTCATACAGAAATAGAAGTAATCGACTAATTCACGGCTGGGGTGATTACTGGGGCCGACGTTTTGGCCATTTTTTAAAATTCAACAACCGATAAGGGATCAATAAAAACTGGGTTGTTTTGAGATTTTAAATTCTCTGCAAGTACCTTATACTGCTGACCTACTTGCAGTAGCTTTTTTTTTGGTTTTTGAACTTAAAATAAACATGAAAATGAGAGATGAGGCAACCCGGTGGGTGGTCCAGTGGTTAGCGCATCGACCTCACAGTGCAGAGGTGCAGAGTTAGATTCCTCCCTATGTGGGGTTTGCATGTTCTCCACGTGCCTGCATGGGTTTTCTCCAGGTACTCCGGTTTCCTCCCACATTCCAAAAACATCCATGGCACGTGTGAGTGTGGATGGTTGTTCGTCTGTGTGTGCCCTGCAGTTGGCTGGCAACCAGTTCAGGGTGTCCACCGCTTACTGCCCGAAGATGGCTGGCATAGGCTCCAGCACCCCCCGCGATGCTTGTGAGGATAAAGCGGATCGCAAAATGGATGGATGGATGAATGAAAGATGAAGTTTTTTGAAAAGACATTGACATTTATAAAGATTCACGTATTTTCTGCACCTAAACTCATTCAATTTTCTCAAAAGCGACAGTGTGCCTTATAATCCGCTGCACCTTATATATGGATCTACATTAGGGTGGTCCATTTTGGAAAAGTTTGTCGGATTCGTCGGGCCGGGTCGGAAATCTTGTCGATACTATGACACAAGGATGTGTGCAAAATTTTATTCCGATCGGATAATTTTATCCCGTCCCGCAGAGCGACCAAAGTTTCCCCTATGGAAAGAATGTTACGGGGCTGAATGGTAGTACGGTTTCTCCCGTACAGTAAGGATTTTGTTTTGCTCAGTTCGCACTTGCAATAATTCAAAGACGGAAGACAGGAACGCATGTATTGCAAAAAAGGCAACCGTGGTGATCCTGCAACACTGGTGAGATTGTTGGTCCATGTTAACTGGTCCATCTATCTATCTGTCCATCTGTCTATAATGGCCATCAACACTAGTGACACTGTTAGACCGCAAAAAAAAACGAAATCCGCCGTGCGTGCCATCCCATGCCTACTTCGCGCACGGGTGCAACGCCCGGTGTCGCTCCACGACCTGCAGAAGGTGCTGTCGCTGTTCCTCGTCGCGCGTAATGGCGCCGCAGAACGCGCTGATGAGGGCGACGCCCCTCTCCGCAAA